AGGAGATTATCAGGAGTCATAACCAAAAATAGATAATTAATTTCCAAATGCGGTAATTTGGTTGATAAACTTTAACATCAAGATTTTTTCTATTCTATTAACAACCTCTCCTAATTTTTTTCTAAAAGTCTTGAAAAATCTGTGTCTCAAATTTGGTGGAGATTGGTGAGCAAAAAAGGTTTAAAATTAAGGTTTGTGGCTAATTTTATTAACAGAATTTTGACATTGATCACCAGAAAATTTCGGAAAATACACTTCCCAATTGTTTAATGTGACACATTGCTTGACTATTATTATGTATTAAAATTATTTTTTATTTTATTTATATGGCTACTATAGTTGTGATATTAAATATCTTGAGAAATGAAATTACATTTAATAGTGATATTATATATCTTTGGATTTTTTTTTTTCATTTTGAAATTTGGATAATTTTTAATCACAAACATACATTATTATTTATTCCTTATCTTTTCAAATCAATGTTTTCATTTTTTTATATCATTAACAAGTTGAAGTACTTATCAATACATTATGTAATATATAAATAATTTATTAATATATTAATAAAAATCAATACATATATCTGAATAATCTATATTATCAAGAAAAAAGCCCATATCTATACATGCAGCCCAAAGTATTTTGACACTGTCATAAAGGGTGTTACACATGTAGTAAAGGGGTGTTACACTTATGTTTTTAATAGTGAATGCCATAATTAATTTCTATTTTGACCATCAAATCACCAAACCAATTTGGGCTGCATGTATACCCATATCTCTTGGTGATATGATTAAAGCTCTATATCCAAGCTTTCCAAATCACATAATATTGGCAATATATATGCCAGTGTTTTTCCTGATCTGTGGGTGCCATTGGTATAATATCTCACCCATTACATATATAATATACATGATTACCAACAAAACTTTAACCACTATTGCAGTCAACTTCCAGAAGAGGATCCCAAATGATTCTTTGCCTCCAAAAATACACAATGAAGACACAAGCTATGGTAGACTGATTGCAGGTTTTGTCAAATCAAACCATGCCAAAACTCCTGATCTTATTTAGAACCCTGATCTGGAAGCTTTGATGTTTCCCCAATGGGAAAGAAAATAATGTGAACCATTGGTGTTGGTTAAATCTATATTAATATATATTTTCAAAAAAGATTGACAATTTATATGTGAAGAGTAAATCGAAAAATGCTATTAGAAAAGTAGCACTGTCACATTAAATAACACCACTTCCAAATTCTGCACAAGTATTCTATTAATATTTTTTCTGACCTTGACTTTTTATTAGTAATAAAAATTTAAGTTTTCTTATAACATCCAATCTATCAATGATCTACATTTTAATTTGAATTACAAATATTTAGCTAAAGTATTTCAGAAGTAATTTCTGCAATTAATAAAATTAATTTCGGCATCTATGAAAAAAGTTTGGTAATCAGCAAAACCATATGTGTAACATTCGTGTTGAACCCCTCATCCCCTAGTACCAACCCTAATTCAAAAAAGTCGCACCAATTTCGCTTTTTTACAAAATGCAGCATACCACAACAACAAAACCTTCGAAAGCCGAAGTTAATCTTAGAAGGCTGTTAACGGTTTGTGAAAAACAAGCATCAGAAGAAAATGGTTTAATACATGGGCCTGAAAAAATGAAATATGTATCGGTACGAATACAATCATCTATTATAACTATTGTTATTTTGAGTCGTTGTATTACTGAATAAATTATATACATATAAAAAGAATATAAATTATCTTCGAAAGTTATTGGAAAAGGTTGAAAAAGAAGCAGAAAAGTAAGTTTTTGTGTACCCTTGTAAAGTTATTGTTGACTTCATCTTACTTAAAATATTTATGAATGGTGTGTGCGCACACGAAAAGCTAGTCAAGTTGATAAGACAGCAATAAGTGATTATTCTCAGAAAATCAAACTATTATCTGACATCGTTGATGAATCCAAATTAGTAAGAAAATGAATAAAATAAACTAATCATTTAATTAATTAATATTAATAATAATTATTTAATTTTTTTATTTAACAGTTATCACCAATAACTCGTAATTATTCACAAGCAAGATTCATTAAACATGCTTATCAAACTCAGGAAGAAAAAAACAAGGAAAATCTATTAGAACTGACAATGGTTAGAAATGCAGAAAAGATCGAAAGAGAAGAACTGCTACAGGTTTGATAATACACATGTATATATTTTGTATAGTCCAACTTATATTTTTTAACTATATCAATTCTTTGAATAGTTGCCCAATCAAACATTTAATGATGATAATTATGACAATAATAATAATAACAACAATAACAATAATAATAATGCACAGTATAATCTTTCATATGATGAGAAAAGAAATGGTGAAATTTATTTAAGATCTTTTTTAAAAAAATATTATTCAAAATAATTTATTATTAACAATATTATTATTATTATTATTATTATTATTACATTTAAAAGAATTATTTTCATCTGGTACAAATACATCAGAGCTTAAGCAAAGAAGGTGGAATATTATTTATAATCATTTTTAAAAAGATCCCAATTTTGTTAATTTTGATTTGTAATATAACATTTAATTTAGATTTTTGTTTTTAAAAGACCAGGAATTTTTGATCATGAAGATACCACAAATATAGAATCTGTTTTACAACATCATCATAAAACACAAGAGGAACTAACTAATGATTTAATTAAGATGGCAGAAAGATTGAAGATAAATTCAGTAACATTTTCTAATATATTAACAAAAGATGAAAAGGTTTGTTTGACAATTTTATTGCCATTTTATATTTATTCAAGCAAATAATAATTAATTAATTCTTAACAATAGATTTTAAATGAAGTGCAAGGTGTTCTTGGAAGTAATTTAGATAGATTAAAAAGAGAAGGTCTTCGTCTTGGAAAATATGCTACACAGACCAGTAAAACTACTTGGTTGGTTTGGTCTGTAGTGTTGTTTGTTTGTATCATATTTGTACTTATGTTTATGCTTATTCGTTTATTTCCAAAAGGATAATTAATATATAAAAATAAACAAATCAATTGATATGACTAGACAAATTTATTGTAATTTCTACCCTATTAATTATCTATTTGTTTGTCAAAGGAATGATATTTTCAAAAGATCAGACTGTTATAGCATGTAATTTTGGGAACCTCATGCTTTGAATGTTTAAACAATCATGGGATTTCGAAAAGAGAAAGAGTGATTTTCTTTCTAAAAAAAATGATTTTATACAAGTTCGCTAAATTTCTTCCCATGATAGTTGGTTACACGAGATCTTTTGTGATCGTCACCATTAAGTTTTTTTGTAACAATTATTGCAATTATTCAAAAAACTATTGATAAAAAGTCTCATCAATCAATACAAATAATTAGAATTAATACAAAAAATAATAATAATAATAAAATTTTACAATGTCGTCTATCAAAGACTATGATGAAATGACACCCGAAGAACAAGAGGAACATGATAAAAAAGTAAGAGGAAAGGAAGAAGCTGAACAAGCAGGTATTATTAATTACCTATCATCAAATTAATAAAAAGCAAACACAATATGTAATAATATATATTTGTAGCCTTACCATACAAGTGGAAACAAACATTACAAGATGTTGATGTTACTGTTCCAGTTCCAAAAGGAACAAGAGCACGTGATCTAAATGTTGAATTAAAGAAAAAGAATCTAGTTGTTGGATTGAAAGGAAAACCACCCATCATCGAGGTATATAAAATAATCCTATATATTTATTAAGTACTTTATAAATATATCAATAATATATGTGTATCTATTAGGGTGAATTATGTAAAGAAATTAAAGTGGATGAATGTACATGGACAATTGGTAATTGAGGAAAAAAATTTTTTACTTGGAAAACTATAAACATACATTAAAGCTTAATGATTAAATATATATAATATGTAATTTAGAGGATCAAAAGGAAATCTATATTCATTTAGAAAAACTTAATAAACAAGAATGGTGGAAAAATGTAATCACTACTCATCCAGCTATTGATACAACAAAAATTCAACCAGAAAATTCCAGTTTAAGTGATTTAGATGGTGAAACTCGTGCAATGGTAGAAAAAATGATGGTATGATCTAATATATACTTTTATATATTTATTAAAAAAAAATATTAATAAATAATATGTTAAAAATTAAAATACACTCATTCTTCAGTTTGATCAACAACAAAAAAAAATGGGTAAAAAGACATCTGAAGAATTACAAAAAGAAGAAATTTTTAAGAAGTTTGCTGAACAACATCCTGAACTTGATCTATCAAAAGCCAAAATTTCTTAAAGTATTATTTGTGTTGTATTAGATATTGTTAATATTGTTGATGTGTTAATTCTAAATAAATTTTTGAATCAAATTAAAAAAAATTCTGTATTCTGCATATATAAATTTTTTTTTTGAAAACTAGAAAGTATATATATACACAAAAAAAAATTTTTTTCAAAGGAAATAGTATCACTATATGAATAATAATAATTATTATTGATTTTTTAGATTGGTTGTAATAATATCATCCATCTTGTAATCATTTGTCAGATTTTATTTTAAAAATCATCTTTACTAGACATAGTTGGTGTTGATAGCAAAATCATAATAGGTTTATTTACATAATAACTATATTTATTTAACATGTTGCCTCTCATCTTGATTTAGATCAATGCTCCTAAAACAAGTCTGCTAATTTTGAGTAACACTTCTATATAGCCAAAACATAAAGATTATTATCATGTAAAAATATTTATAGTGCAAATGTGATTTCTAAGTAAAATTATCATCACTTGCTATGGTGTTTTTACAATTCAGCCAATTTTTGGTTGTTTTGAATGATATAATATGCCATAAATAGGTGAAAACATAAAGATTAAAAATATTTATGACATATATCAGAAAGATGATAACTCAAATATTGAAAACATAGTTCAAAAAGATGACAACACAAATCTTGAAGAAGATACAATTCTAAATGACAACATTAATCAAAAAATGGACAAGGAAATGGATTAAGACAATTCGTTGGTTAAAGAAGTTGAATTGCAAATTTTGTGAATGGCTGTGAAACAATTGATTTGGAATTTGATTCTCATGTTATGGCAATGCAATTTATTGAAGGAATGACTAATACTTACAATATTGAAGATGATCAATGAGACAAATTTCCTAAACTTTGTAAGGATTGGTTGGGTTTTGAATTAGTTTTGGGATTGATATCTATACTTGGTAAGAATTACTCCACAGATAGCTGTTAGTGTTGGTTCCTAAAACTAGAGAGATTTGCAACTGTGCAAAAGTCAAAAGGCAGTGTTGTGCCATTTATGGTTCCAATAAAATTTCATTGGAGCATTCTAATAAATTCCAATTGGAATTGGAACATTCCAAATGTGGTTCCAATGAAGTTAACCAATGAAATTCAATTATAGTGTCATACACACGAATTTTATTGGTTGATATCAATTGAAGATCTACATTGGAACATTCCAATAGTGTTACAATGTTCCATTTGCACAACACTGCAAAAGGTTTCACCATAAGTCAAAACTAGTTTTGATTTTTGACTATTGACATATAACTTTTAATTTTAGTTTTGACTTTCATCTCTTCAAAATAGTTTTGGTGACCAACACTAATGGCTGTATCTTTCAAAAAAATTTTGTGCCTGTTGTTCTTGAGGTTAAAAATGACAATGCTGGTAATGCATTTAAACAAGCTTGTGGATATTATTGGAGATTTATCCAAAGCTTAGAAGAAGGTTATGCATGAAAAACACATTTACCATGTCTTCTTTTATGTCTGACTGGTCAGTATCAATAAATTCTTATGCATGTGCATTTGGTTCATATTTTGACTAATTTTATTTGTTTCTTTTTGTCAGCATCTCACCTTAGGATTGCTGGTGCTTTTTATAATGGAAATTATTTAATTGAAGGCCTAACAGAAATTTCACTAGACTGCTTTGAATATACTGAACCAAAGAGAACACAAATAATTGGAAGGATATTGCTTGCTCTTAAAAAAGCTGTTCAGTTGTTAAAAGAATACTATGCTTCTCCCACTCAGGCAGTACCATTGAAATTTCCTTATATTATTTCATTTAAGTTGCTTGATGGTGAATGTGAAATGTCATTTAAATATGAAGAAAAGTTAACTGGAGGTAAATTTGTATATGTTGTTGAAACAATGAATAATGATTGCAGTGATATCCCAAAATTGTTAGTTGTAAAATTTGTTACAAGCTATGGGTTGGATGTGCATAAATTTTGTGCAGATAAAGGTATTGCTCCAAAGGTCTATGGGTATGAGAACATTAACTGTGATTGGAAAATGGTGACAATGGAATATCTTTCAGACTACAAATCATTGACAGATCCTCCACTTGAAACAAATCAAAAGGTGAAGCTTCAGAAGAAAATCAAGGATGCAGTTCAGGAGATGCACAGTGAAGGATTGGTTCATGATGATTTACGGGAGTGTAATATTCTTTATAAGGAGGAAGAGGAAAAAAATGAAGATGGTAACATACAAGTAAAAATTATAGATTTTGATTGGGGAGGAAAAAAAGAAGCAGCGAGGTACCCACCATGTCTTAATCCTGATATTTCATGGCCTTTTGGTGTTAAAATCAACCAACCAATCAAGCAAATGCATGATAGTGATCTCCTTGAGTTGACAATTGAAAAGTATTTGAAAGCATGATATTTATGATAACTGTACAAACTCAATGGGATGAAGGATTGAATAACTGTGAATGGAGAATATAGTTTTTAATACTTGTAACCTTTCATTATTAATAATATGGTTACACATTTTTACTTTAATACTGTTAGATTGTGATGATAATATTTTTTTATTAAATAGTTTTTTTTAGATGAAACTGAATAATAAATAAAGAAATTACAATAGTTCAAGTTCTTTTAATTTGGTTCTATAAAAATTAATATAAACTCTTTAAAAATCTATTGTGATTAATTTTCAATTTCCTGTAAAACCTACAAAGTGAACATAAAATTATAAAATTATATATAGGGATAGGTGTATACAAAAAGTAATAATGTAAATAGTAACCATAATGGATCTAACAAATATGAAAAGGCAATCAATTTTTTAGAAAAAGATTGTAAATGTGGTTGTTCTTCAAGAATTCTCAAAGAACAATTTGCAGAGTTAAGGGAATCCTTTCAAGCTCTTTCTAAATCAGAACAAGACATATTTTTAATGGCCCAACTTAAA